TTGAAAGTCTACATAGTTAAGTACTAGCTTTAATTTATTTGTGTGTATTAGCGACTATGGAAAAAAGTTATCACAACATAAGCTTATTTATTTAAAGTGTCTTTTTCAAATATTTAAACTCTTTAACTCAAAATTGGTAAAACATGGGTGTTAAGATTAGAAAAAGGGGAAGAGTTGCAGAAGGTCGAGAATTGAACAAGCGTCAGAGTTATTTGTTAATACCGTGTCATAGACTTTAGTGATTTGAACCGAGTAAAATTTTCTTAATCGGTTAACCGAACCGAATTATTTCATTCAACCGATTACCAACCGATTAAGATTAATATTAATATCTATTCTACATTCGGAAATTCTCGGAGCCTCTAATTTTTGTCTCGACCTGCTCGTCTTTTTATGTTCTTGTCGGAACTTTTCGGATCCTTTACTCTCTCCTACGTCACTTCGAAATTTTCTCATACCATATTAATCCTGCCAACCGGTTGTACCGGGTCAACTGATTAAGAATTTCCTCAACCGGTTACCCGAAATTTATTCGGTTCGGGTCGCTTAGCCGATTATAGCTAAACCGATTCAAGTCACTAATAGACTTTGTAGCAAATAATAAGATGGTTAATTTACTTGCATGGTCATTATTTTGGGCAATACTATAGTTGCTGTCCAAACCTAACTATGGGACTTTCTAGTATATTAACCATTATTTGAAACTAGTTAAACCCGTAGAACTTGTTCTAAACTGTATGAATTGGGACAAAATTTCAGATATAACCAATTTGGGCCAATGGGGATTTCAGAATTAATGATTCGACGTCCGATTCAGATAAAATAAGTGGCGCATTTATTTCAAAAGAAGCTAATTTTATCACAGGCTATGCCTATTTAATTTTCTGATTTGGGATTCTAAAAAAGAAATTAGAATCTTTTAAGCTCCCACTTATTTTGAAAAAGTTAATTCTGAACCTAATAGTTATAACTATTTGGACGGCAACTATAGGCAATACCCAAGTACATTGTATAGAATTCTGATAGGCTGATAAAGTAACTTTAAATTTTTTTAATATAATGATCATAACAGATTAATCAATAAAAATATCCTGAGTTATTAGGTATTAGCGGAAATGGGGTTTTGCTTATATACACACAGATCAGGAATTTTTATTAATTATTTTATCTTGATATAGTGATTGGGTTAATTCGAACTAAAATATATTGTATTTACTTTTAAAATAAGCAAAGCAAAAGTGTAGTGAATATTTAACTAGACAAACCTTTTGATCTTGACCTTTCATTTAATATATACAGAGGGTTAAGACTGGTGGGACCTGAGTATTATACTGTATTTAATTAGCTAGGTGGTGTATGAATTTTGGTTAAAAAAAATGGCACTGTTTATAGCATTTAGAAAAATTTAGAAGGTAAACAAAAGTACAGTATCATTGTTTATTATCTCACTACACTAGCAAAATAATCTAAATTAAATAAATATCAAGTGCAATTACAAAACTAGGCTGAAGAAGTTTTAGAAGGCTTAATCTAAATTTATATGTATCTAGAAATAGTTATTAAATTGATCAAAAATGTGAAGGTTTTATTATTTTTGATTATATATAAATAGGGGTCTCAAAATTAATAAATAAATAGTGCATTTTGAAATTAAATAAGAGTTTAAAAAATCTTATTTGTTTTTCAAGATTTTTTTTTATTAAAAAAAAATAAATAGAAAGTAAAACTTTGTTCAAATTGAAGATAAGACGAATTACTTATTTCAAAATAAATACATTATCAATTTCAATTAAAATTAGAATTTACATTTTAACTTTAAACCCCTATTTATATTGATTAATTGAATTGACTAATTGATTAGTTGGTATATATATTGAAATGGCTTTTAACTATATCTGTTTTTCTAGTATATAATACTGTATAAAACTTGTAAAGGCACAGGTTTTTGTTAGTACAATAATTTTTGAATTGATCTTTATTATATTTAGTATACATCTAAATGTATCTAATTAAAAAATTTGATATAAACTATATTGTATATTTAAAATAATAAATATATAGTAATCATTTTAATTTTGTTTTATTCATATTTAATTGCTATCTTAAAAACTATCAACAATACATTTATAATAAGCTACTCAAATGAAAATATAATTAAACCTCTTAAATGCTATTCCTCTAAATGCAATATCTCTTTAAATACATGTTTTTTTTAGGCCCAACTAATATTACATCTATAGATTTTTATCTTCCTAGATGCAATACCTCTCTAAATACATGTGCTAAAGCTGGTTCCAATGATGTGCATTTAGAAAAATCTGACTATATTACTTTGTAAATAAATACTTATTTATAGAGTTGGTAAAAGTTTTAGATTTAAAATCTAAAATCTAGTTTTTAGAACCTAGTTTTAAAAGCCAGGTTCCAATTTTGAAACCTAGTTTTTAGGTTTATAATAAGTTTTTAGGTTCATAGTAGATTCATAGATTTTTTATTTTTTTTAAACTTTGGCAATCTGAGATGTAGTGATTAGCATTCAAAGATAAGCCAGCTTATCATGGCTTGCTGTGGCTTATTATATGATAAAATTGAATTTATCACCAAGCTATGTGACAATTTTAAATTTATTACATGATAAATTTGAGATTGTTATATAGCTTGGTGATAAATTCGATTTTATCACGTGATAAGCCAGCTTATCTTGCAAGTCTGAAATATATGACAGGTTATGCATGTTGTTAATCACACATCTGAAATATGCAAAATTTTTTAAAGTTCATTAATATTTAGATTAGTGTTTGTATTAAGGTTAGTTTTAGCAAGATATATAGTAAAATCATTCAAGGAATCTTTTTATTAATACATAAAAAATTGTTTCTTATGCAAAACTTTGAGTAATACCTGATTTTTGGCAAAACAAACGCTTGCTTTAATTGTGTAATGTTACACCTGATCTTGAAATCTGATTGGCATCTAGCACTAACCTGTCATACATTTTGGACGTGCGCTTATCTTTAAACACTAGTAGTAATTTAGTATAGTGGTCTAGTTGTCACCCTCTCTAAGTGGCAGGTCTAGAGTTTGAATCCCACAGATCACAATATTTGAAAAATAGACTTGTATTTTGGTTAACGGTTATGTTTATCAATTGGATCTAGAACTAAATCTGTAACTTCAGTTACACCATCTAGAAATAGAAGCTTTGGCACAATAAATCTGAGGAATTGGCATAATCGAAAACCCATTTGGGAAGTTCTGAATTTGGAGATAACAGTAATCTTCAACAGTATTACAGGAGAGCTGAATTAAATAGAGAACACTAGCTAAACTGCTGGGCTGACATATTAGAGAAAAAAGGCATATGCTCTGAAAGTATGGACCAAGTAGAAAGTGTCCTTCAGACACCTAAAGCCTAAGCAGACCAACCCATCCAGGTTGCTAGCTAGAAGTAAGAAAGAGACCAATAAAGAATTTGGGTAAAAAGATAGTTTCAAATATGGGTACTAGGGTTGTTGTGAACCAAATAAGGCAAGAAGTAAGTAATCGCAGGAGTTCAATAGTTAGCCCTAACCCCCGAGTGCATGAATAAAGCTGTAGTATAGGTTACTGAAGCCTAGATAAATATATATATAGGATATGTAATATCTAGCAAAATGGAAATACCCCACTATTCAATGATCGAAAGTACCTGGAGTTAGAATAAGCAAACTTCATGGGATGTATTGACCAATAGTAAGGTAAATAGGGATTAATTACAACTATACTAGATTATAAAGTTTAGTATATCTTACTCAAAATGGTTCTAGAAATTTAGAAACTGAAACACTATAAAGAGAAAAACCTGGAACATCTATAGTAGATGATGACTAATTAAAAAGGTTGTGGCTTAAAATACAGATCAGGTTTTAGCAGTGCTTTAAAAGGTAGCTTAAGATATGAACTTGGTGATAGTAGCATAACAGGTACTAGTTAGAAATTAATTACCAATAATGTACTGAAAATCTTAGTAAAAATAATGTATACTTGTGTATATTTCACTATAATGAGTAATAAAGAGATAGTGTTTATTAAAAAAAAAAATAAAATAAACTTTGGCAAACCTGCCTTTATTGTCTAGAAGTATAGTACTGTATATAATAATACAAAGTGTTCGAACAAATAGCTTGCAATAACTAAATATCTTCAACCCTCTTATTTTTTAATAAAAATTCACTCAGCTGCTCATAATAGTACTAGGTGTGATCTGTCATAGCAATAATTCTCTAATCTCTAGTGCTTAACTTGCTAGACAGTTACCCAATATAATTATAATGAATTATTAAAAATCACTGAAAGCTTATTGCTAGCTTTGTCAAGATTGCCTTTTTCTTAACATTTTTTCTTCTTCAAAAGAGCTAAGGAAATAGTAAAAGTATAAAAATAAAAGAAATAAAAATGACCAAAAAAAAGAGAAGTGAAAAAGAAAAAACAAAAAAAAAAAAAATTATAAAAAAACAAATATAAAAGAAAATAGAAAAAAAATAAAAATAAAAAAAAATAAAAAAAGGATTTTGCTAAATATCACAACCTATGATATCGCAGGTCATGTAATTTAGTAGTAATAGTAAAATTTATTGTCTAGCAATAATCAAATTGGTACAAATTGGTACATACATATGTATATATGTACGTATAATATGTTTACTTGCTATATTTGTTAATTTGTGCTTAATCTATATAAATAGCCTTTGTGAAAATTTGAAGTATGTTGTATATACGTAGTATGAGAAGAAAAAGAAATTGAAAAATCAGTAGTATATAATCATGTACACTATTAATCGAATTAATTATCAGGATCAGTCGTGGGCAATTATATAATCATTATGATTAGTATACTGAATATAAGTGATTTATAAAGTAATTAGGGTAGAAATGATATAGTTAATTTGAAGTCAAATTCTATATACTGTATATAATGAATATAAGAAATAAAAAAATACTTATTTGATTAAATAAGGCATCTAAACTCTTGTCTTTGTATTTAGTTAATGGTGTGTTGCATTATTCGTCAGTAGTTATGTTTGTAGTCAGTAAGGTATATATAAATTTCAATAACAATATCTAAATCAGAGTAGCAAGTCTATTCACTTTATATAGATTAAAGTCAATTCTTATTCAAATTAAAAATCAAAATTTTTAGAAGTTAACAAGTTAAAAGTGAACATGAATAAAAATTATGACCTGAAAATACAGAAGCTTTGGTTGATCTATAGTATAGGTGAGCAGAATAGAATATTATAAAATTATAATATATAAAATTAACTATTTGAACTAACACAGGTCAAAAGATAAAAAATCAGGCACAAATCAGGTACCTGATTTTAAACTGATTACTACCTGATTACCACCTGATTTATGCATATTTTTGTACCAAAAATTTGGTACAAAAATATACATAAATCAGGTGATAATCAGGTAGTAATTAGTTTAAAATCGGGTACTTGATTTGTGCCTGAGTTTTTATCTTTTGACCTGTGTAATTTAAGCAAATTTGATACCAAAATAGAAAAGCAACAAAAAATAAATACAAGTCTTATAGTGCAAGTAGAAGTATAGCATTTAGAATTAAGTGTATAAACAATAGTTTACTAGTTTTTTTAGTCTTGAAGAAATATAGGCCTAACTTATATCCAACAGATACATATATTAGTTGTGAAGCTAAAAGGGAGACAACTGATCATTTGGTTGAGTATACTAGTTATGCTTTCTTTTGGAATATAATTAAAGATGTAGCATGCTCAATTGTGTAGAACAAAATAGGCAAAGTATATAGAAAGAGAGCTCCTATTGAAGTTTTCAGAAGTATAGTAGTTGGTAGTATAGTTAAAAAAAAAATAGAGTGAAGAAAAGATTATATTCAAGAGCTCATTCTAAACAAAGTAGTCAATAAACTTTTAAACCAGCAACTATCAAGTAGAGTTATAAATAAAACTTTGTTAAAATACAAGATAATCATTGAAAATGATTTTTTTAATGAAATCTGGCAAAAGAGATGTAGGTCCATAGTTGTCTGAAAAAAAGCAAATAGTATAGCTATAGCGATGAAGTGAAGTAGTTGTGAAAAGAATATTGTACCTTATAGCGAAAGCAGCACTATGTTTAGAGTAAGGAGAAGCAAAACCAATGTTGGTCTGAACAATGAAAGTTTGTAGCAAATATTGAGAGAATGGCAAAGGTAAAGCAGTTTTTTGAGAAGGGTGTTGTAAAATAAATTGGAGTGGGTCAATCTCATTTTGGTTTAGTTTTTGATAGAGCTGACAATGTCTCCTAACTCATATGTAGGTTGGTATAACAAGTCGCATCTGGGCATATAATATGTAGCTAGATGATGTCAGATTTGCAATTTTAAATTAGTTATTATTAGAATAGCTTTAAACTTTGTTTTTAGTCTAATAGTTTAATAATTTGTATTTGAGCTTTGACAAGACTGTCAAAAAATTAAAAAAAAAATAAAAATAAAAATTTAAGCAAATTTGGAACTAGTTAGAGTTATGGTGAGAGTTATAGTTTAAATTAAAGTTAGGTTAGATTTAGAGTTAGAGTTTTTTTATATAATATTTCTAGATTGCCTATCTATACTATAAAAAATCTGAAGCTTTAAAACTAATACAAACCATTTTGATTTTAGACAATAATTATATATATTAATTTAGCCTGAAAGCATAAAATTGTAGATTCGAAATATAAAATTTGATGTGGTTAATTAGTTTTGAAGTAATAAGACTATCTCAAATAATAATTTAGAGCTAGAAATATTAAATTAATTCATAAAGTTTGTTAAAATTCTAACAATTACAACTTAATTCATTTTTTATCCATATTAATATCATGTCATTTACCTTATTGTAAAGAAATTAAAGCAAAAAAAAAAATTTTACATGATACTAAAATATAACATAACACTATAATTGTTACAGTTATACTAGCATTATATTTGTGCTTCAAATAAAACTACTGTCTATTTTTTTAACATTCTTTAAAACATGCAATGAATTCACTCTTATCTAAAATGATTTTTTGAAAATTTATATATAGTAGCATAATGTCCAGTTCTATAGCAATTACCATAGCGACAACTCCTTTTAAAATTTTCATTACTGGTTTTATTAACTTGTTTTCTTGATGGACCATTTTTAATGTCTTTGTCTTCACTACTGGCTTCAGTTATTTGTCTTGATTTATTTTGTCTTGTATCTAATACTTTGTTGTATAGATACTATCAATTTTAAACACCTTTTGTACTTCAATTTTTTTAAATTTACAATTTTATTAATATCGACTATTATCTGTTTAGTAGTATCAACACCAGTATAACTTTCAATAAATCTTACTATCAGTTCTACAAATTCATTGACTAAACTATTTTCAAGTACAAACTTCAGTTCACTTTTAGCAATTCCAAAACCATGTATATATTCTTGTTTTTGCACAATACTAGTATAAATTCTGGCTTCATACATATTAGATAGAAGTAACTTAATTCAATTCTTCAAGCATATTTTGATTCATTTCTTTATATGTATCAAATTCTGAAATAGCAATGTCCATAATTATCAAACAGTCAGATGCTTATATTTGTTCTATATATCAACGTTTAGAGATCAGTTTAATATCAAATTTGATACTATAAGATATTTTAAAAACAATGAAGAAATATTTGCAGTAGAAACTATTTGAAATAATATAAAAACAAGTACAAAGATACATATTATTAGTTAAAAGAACAACATAATGAGAATAATTATAATTATATTGGTTAAATAAAAAGATTCTCCAAATTTCAATAATATCTTTATAATTAATCATATTAATAATATTTTTAAATGATGCTTGTAAGGCATTATATTCATTCTCAAGATATCCTTCTGTATATTCGTGAGTATTAGAATGCTGATTCAAAAAAAAAAAAGTTAGTTCAATTAAATAATAATTATATATTATAAATATTATAAACATTATACCAAAGCCAAGTCATGTGAAATTTCAAACAAAGATGTGCAATATAATATGCTTTGAAATATTTAAATATTTTGAATCAAGGCAGATTCCAGAGTTAAATTTTTCTTGATTTCATCTTGAACAGGTTTAAAAAACACACTTTGAATGCTTGGAAGTCCTTGAGTAGGTAGTGTATTTTTATATTCTAAAAGTTTTTGTTGCTATACTTCACGTTCAAGTTTCAACTAAATAGCTTTGACCAAATTAAAAAAAGTTGCTTTTATACTAACTTACTTTTTAATAAGTCTATTTGTACTTTTCACATATTGTATACTTTGCATTTTAGCACAAAAAATCATAAAATATAGATCTTAGCTCATAATTATCAAGACTTTCAAAGTTGATTCAAATAATTTTTACTTGCAGGATATTGAATTAACAATTTCTCTTAATAATGCTTTAGTTTTGCTTCGCTATAGCTATTATGATATTGAAACCAACTTTGTAAAAAATTATTATATGAACTACCATACTTTCTAAACAATTTTTTTGCAATATTTGTTTGGATATGAAATATACAATGATTATGTTTTGTAGTAGGGAAAACTTGATTAATAGCAGAAATCATAGCAAGATCAGCGTCAGTAAAAATAGCTTTTGGCAGTAAGTTGATAGTTGTTTTTAATAAATACTCTAAAATCTACTTGTAAGAGCTAATAGTCTCATTCTAAACAAGTGACTGAGCCACTATCCTTGAATAATTATAATTGTCAACAATCACAAAAAGATTTAATAACATATTATATATATTGGTTTTTGCAGTATTATCATTAACTACTACATTATAATAATGCTTCTATAATTCTATTTGCATTGGTAATATCCAAAAAAGTCTTGAAAAATTTTTATTAACATCTTCAAATTCAATATACAGTAAATTGCTCATTCTGGCTCTTCTTCTTGTTGTCTCATAAACTATTTTACCATATCCGCCACATCACTTTCTTGTTGATTCCTTATTTGACTTTTATATTTACATATAGCATTATATAAATCACAATCATATAGAAGTTGATTTGGATATTTTTTTGAAATATACTAATGTTGGGCTTTGGCTCTAAGATTATATTTCTAAGTTAAAAATTTTATTTCATCAAGAACATCTTGTAAAAGTGTTTATAAACTTGGAGCAAACTTTTCTCTATATAGCACAAGAGTATGCTTGTAGATTTCAACTAGTTTATAGAATTAATATCTTTTATAAACTCTACATTAAGTTGCTATTCGTATCTGACCTTTTTAGATTCTCTTTTTTCTATGATTTGCACCATTAGTATTTTTTTTATATTAGTACTCTTTGGAATTTTTGCAAATAAAGTATTAACAAATTAGATCTCCATTATTATTATACTCTACTTGATACTTTATAGACTTGAATCCAATTTCTACTTTATATTTTTTTAGTGCATTCTCTAAAGATTTTCAACTAGGAAATAAAGCATTAATTTTAATTATATCATCATTATTTTTATCACAATAATCAGGCTCTTTATCACTTTCTTGTTTATTAGCAAATTCTTGTTTATCATGTTGTTACTTTTGGATCAACTGTGTAGATTTTTGGTTATTATACTGTTGCTCTTAGATTACTTGAGTAGATTCTTCGCTTTAATAATTTGTATTAAATTGTTGGCTAGTTAAGAAAAAAAGACCAAGTAGAGCCAAAAATACAAAAGAAATTAATAATTGATATAGTTAGCCTTTTTTCTGTCACTTGTTTATTTTTAAAAAAAATTTTTTTTTGCCTTATTGCTACAAAACAAACATAATTTACCATCTTCACTATAAATATAAGCATATGAATCAAAAAATGAAGAAGGCTCTTTAGAATCGCTTTGACTAATATAAGACTTAAACAAAAACTTCAAGTCATTATTTAACATAGTTATAGGGCTAATTAATCATAGCAACTTGAGGTGTATGAATTATTTATCAACTCTAATAGTCTTGATGTAATACTAATTTTTTTTTTTAGTATTTTATAATAGCACAAACAATATGCTAACGAAAATACTATACTATATAAAAGTGAATTAATTGTAAAATTTACAAGATAAAAGCTACTTAAGAATTTTTTGCTTAATTCATATTATAAATATCCGTCATCAACTATATAAATAATAATATTTGTTTATTATTAAATTTCTGATGCATATAATATGATCACCTGCAATATTGCAATCTGATATTAATTTTAATATATATAATCATCTGTGATATCACAATCTGCTAAATTTAACAAATTACATATAATATATATTTGATATAAAGTTTTAAATTAGTTTTGCAAAGTTTTCAGAAGTCCTGAACATTTTTGCTTAAAATACCCAATTTTGTTTACTTAGTATATTTTTGAGATATAGCATCTCCAAACACCTTAGAGAAAATCTCCCAGTTAAAATTAGCAATTCTCATATAAAAAAATAAATAATTTAATTTTTTTTAAAAACTAATAATTAATTTTAAATTCTAGATAATGTCTTCAATATAATATAAAGAATTAATAAAAAAATTAAAAATCTCAAACCTGAAGCAATAACTGGGTTTTAAAATTTAATTTAAATATATAAATCTAAAAATTAAAAAAAAATTAAAAACTAAAACCCAAGCAATACTGGGTTCTATAAGCTAGTTTATATAGTATTTACAGTAGGAATCATAAGTAGCCCACCCCTCTTAACTTTTTAAATCGAAATGCTAGAGTCTTGAAAATTTTACTATAAATAGTACTATATAAATGTAGATCAGATATAAATTTTCATAAAATTTTAATTACTACAACAAAAGTTAGATAAGAGCTAAAATTTGTTAAAATTTTGACTTTTTTTAATATTAAAATTTATTAAATTTAATTAAAAATCAATAAAATAT